TGTGTCTGTTGAGCTGCTGAAAGCGGTATCATTTAAATGGAAGAAAATAAGTTGAAAGTGAAAGTTAAATCTACTTATTAATCATGTCAAGTGAATCTGCAAAGAGATGCGTGCCTCCTTGTTCACGGCCCATCTCTGAAGAGGATTCACATGAGTATTGTTTGGAGTGTTTGGGGGAAGAACACGCTGATCTCGCGCTCGAGGGCGGCGAGTGTGAACACTGTGATTCACTTCCTATCCATGTGCTTCGCTTTAGGCTCACTGTCTTTCACAAATAACGAGCTGCTGCACCCTCGTTAGGATCGTATGTTGATCTGGATAAGGCTTGAGAGGCTGGTCCTCCCCTTTCTCTTGTGCTCTCGCCAGATCTGGAGGTTCTTGTGCTTCTGAACATGCCCTGGCACTTCTTCGGATCAGACAGAGGACACGGCAGATTTGACTTCTGCAGAGATGGAGACTGAGTGCGCCGCCTCCGAGTGCTCCTCCCACAATTATTAAACATATGAGGAGTTACTCGAGGTGGTGACTTGTGCAGTGGTCAGATTAAAGCTGGATTGGCCACAGGAGTAAGAGACCCCCAAACGCTCCAAACTAGCTGACAGGTTTCTGTCAGGTAGTCAAGTTTAGGGACCTCAGCGACGGTCTCTCCCCTTCTTTGGTGATTTCCATGATGAGATATCTCTTTCATGGAGTAAGCCGTATTCATCCCCTGTTTTTGTGCCCTCAACGTCGATTTATTTGACTATCATGGATTCAAAGGCACCGGGCTACATGATGATGTCCCAGGTGGAAAAGACAGGCTATCTCTCCCCTGGAGGTGCATCATCACTCAAAAAGCCAATGCTCCCTACCAAGCCATTCAGAGAAACATCTACACTTTTAGAGAGAGGCATATCAGGCTGACCTTCTTAAAGGTTCTGGGGACACCCAAGACCAATGTTACATCTTGTAAAAAGGGGCATAATAGGTGCCCTTTAAGTTCTGTCGAGGTCACACCTCTGAGGGGGTCGAAGAACCAGTGGAGATCTACACTTTAGGAGGGAAAGTTTACAACTCTTTCTTTTCGAGCATGGTAATTTGCATATGTAATTCAATTGGGTGTTGATGCAAAAACTACTAAGGATTCTTATAACACTAATATGTTGCATAGGTATCAACATGTAATATACACTCTCATTTAGATCATCAAAATGTGAATTCGTAGATACCAAACATGGTATAGGTGAGTGTGGCGAGTCGGCTGCCTCCCCCCTAATTTATCATCATCACCCCATCTCTTAATCACCGCTTTTCGCCAGGCTCCAGACAGGAGTGGGTGTGTGAGAGAGGAGGGGTGCAGAATCATCCAGGTCTGGCGGCGTGTGATGAGGCACACCTGAAGTGAATGGAGCCTCGTCACCACCGCTGTTAAATGCCGAGCGCGCCTCTCCTCGGGAGACTGGTCTCTTCCCCGTGCATGCACGCTGGTGTCCTCGTGGGTCCAGGAAGGGTGCGTAGAGGGACTCCTGCGCTGCCAGAGCCACTAGCTGCCAGACCCACGGTCCGGATGTGAACCACACCCGTGACACGGTTGTCGGGTCAGGATGACGGGCCGTTTAATCCCCAGGAAGCATCGTGGGCCGAGGACGACAAAGCTGCTCAGAAGAAGCCGCCGCCCCTTGCGCCCCGGACCAAGAGGGGAGCACGTGCGGCCGCTGGACCCCTTACCTGGACCCTTCCTTCTCGAACACTGTCCCACCTTCACCATTTCCCCGCACAACGAGAACACCAGATCCCCATTTATTTTGAACACTATTTCCCCTTTGGACACTTTATTCCCGGTTTTGGACATTTTGTGTTGATTTTCTGTTAATAAAAGCCTCTCCGAGGCCTGACGGAGACCGGTCAGGCCACGAGGACACCAGCGTGCATGCACGGGGGAAGAGACCGGTCTCCCGACAGACACCCACTGTGTCTGTCGTTTGCTCCTCCCACCACAGTGAGGTTATATTAACTAGTGATCTATCATAAGCATGCATAAAACAGTATACAATACACAAGACCATATACAAGAAGGTGGTAATCATACACAATGGCCTGGGGATATGCATGATAGGAAGGTCATAGAAAAATGTGTCTATGAATTAATGAAAGAAGTCATTTCCTATAGCAGTATGTGTCTGTTATAAGAGAGAGAATTAAGTAGGGGGGAAGATTCTCTCTACATACTTTTAGGTCATAAAGTTTATCTGGATAGCATGGTAACCAAGGGCCTGTTCTGCCTTTTTGAGGTGTAAGTCGCATTTCGGGGGAAGGGTCCATAGACCCTCATAGTTGGCTTGTTGGTTGGGTGAGGGGTGTTAGGAATTATTTAAATATAACAAATAATTTTGTGTCTGATTGGTCCAGATGCTACAACAAAGAATGCTCTAATAAGAGATATTGCAACGCAGCATCTCGTTCCTGCTTTTTCAGGGAATAGGGTTACAGTCAAGTAATAGTGAGAAAGTGCATGGAATTAGTTCCTTTTTGCAACAGTTTTTGGTGATTTTAACTTACATCTTATTAGATCTTATTATTACTGTAAAAACAAACAAACAAACTCACCTATTTTGCTTATTGGTCATCACTGCATAAGCTGTCTTATTTACTAACTACTTATGTTGGTATACTTTAAAGGTATATAAAAAATTATTATAAAGTTATTTCATTATCCATTGTTATACAATACAATAAATAACACAAAAGCAACTACTAAAATATTAAAATGTCATACCAGTAAGTTTCCACCACACATTAATTATACAGAATTGTCATGTGCAACTATATCATATACACAGAGTAGATACAGACAGGAGAGGAAAAACACATCTTTATTTATTAAATTAATATAAAAAGAAAAAATAAATTACATTTATATTAAACATTGCACAACAACCTTTATTGTGACAGAGCCATAGGCGACGACATTATAGCAGTGTAAGATCCAAATGCAAGAAGCTTATTAACACTCAGCAAACAAATCCAAATCACAAGGCTGTACCATTGTAGATTAGACAGGCTGGTTTCAAACAAACGTGAGGTCAGTCCAACAAGGCAAACAAGGCAGAAACAGTAATCCAAGAGGCAGTGGTCAAACAAAGCAGGCATAATGGTCATAACAATAGGGCTATACAGTGAACAAATGTACTCTTGGTACGTCAGTGAGAACTGGCAATACTGCCATTAAATATGGTACCAAACAGGAAGTAACCAACAAAAAAAAGAAAACAGACAGTCAGTATTCTGGAGAGGGTTCTCTGTGGTGATTGGATGGATGGCTACCAGCCCCATCCATTACATTTATGACTACTATGTTTTATGTAACATTTTTCCAAATGAGATCTTCAGTGCAATCGGTAAAGGTTTGGTAGAAGTCTGTAAAATACTGCAGAGGCATTTGAACATCTTCAAGTGAAAATGTTAATATAAATTTAGTCCCAAATTTAAACTGAATATTTTAAGTAAATATTTCCCTTAAAGGGGTCATACATAGGATGCTACATGCACATTTACAAGTTGTTTGAACTGAAATGTGTGTTGGCAGTGTGTGTACACAACCACCCTATAATGATAAAAATCCAC